AGAAATCACACTAAAACTACCATAGGTAAAAGTGCAAGATTTTTGCAAGATTGTAGCTGAGCCTCCACCACTTGTTAATCCAAATAAGAATTTTTTGCAACTGATTTATAGTCAATAAAAATGTCGGAGTGCAAGGAGAGTATCTTTAGAAATGGTTACATAATCTGTGCAGATATAACTTCCATATATTGTACAACAAAGTTTACACAAAGGTATATTGTTGAAACCATTGGAGTGACTTTCTTTTAAAAAGATTGACTCAAATCAAATGCTGCACATAGGATTTGCTGTAGAAAACATATCTTGCCACATTTGTGACTGGGGGAAAAGGATCTACATTTCTTTGTTTAGAAAATTAATGCTGCTAGACATTAAGATTATGAACAGACATAATTAAGTGGCTAACTACCTTTTGCATTAGCAGAATCGGATTTTCAAAAAAAAGTCAGAAAATAGTCTTTCAAAAACAAAGAAAAAGATTTAAAAGAAGTAAACAAATGCCTGTATGCATATATGTCCACATATGCAATTATAAAGACAAATACAAATATTTATGTTGTTCAGTGTTCCTAGCTATAATGAGATCTGTACAAATGAAGGTAATTGGTAGAATAAACATTATTAAAATAACTAGGAAAGAAAGATCAGATTTTCCTTCATAGTTGAATTTTTCAAACATTTTATTTGTATTTATTTTTTAGCATAGCAGTTTCCCAGATTTTCAAGTACCAATAATTGAATGAAATACATATTTTAACTTTTGTTTTTATCCATGATAAAAGAAAGAGTGCGGGGGAGAGAAATTGCTTGTTTTGTGTGGAAAGGGCTGCTTTTTAAATGCAGTGTTGGTATGATCTATTATCAAGAGCATTTATCTTTTAGGGATTATTTATTTAAAATAAGTTTAGCCTAGCTTTGCAATAAAAAATATTCAAAGTGGTTTAACAAGTTTTAATATGTGCGTAAGATTCTCTTAATGTAAATGCCAGGTGTAATCTTTCCATTACATGAATACACTGATTCTGATTGTTTTTCTGTGCACAGCGATGCATGCACAATTATGCTATCAGAAAAATGTTCTTGTTAATCCAGAGATCAGAAGCTATCATGTGTGTTATTGGTTATTTATTTTTAAACAATCGATGCATACGCATTTTGAATCCAAATAATCATAGCTGATAAGCTTGATCATGTAATTGCTGTGATTTCTTTCCTGTGTTTGGAGGTGTGTTACTCAAAATGAATTCCATTGCATGGTCCCAATTTAACTACAGGTACCCCTTGGATTACAACCACTCATTCAGCGACTGTTCAAAGTTATGATGGCACTTGACAAGGGGGACTTCGGTCCTTGAAGTTGTGGCCATCACAGTATTCCCCCAGTCACATGATTGTAATTCAGGCACTTAGCAACCAGTTCGCAATTATGACAGTTGCAGCATCCTGCAGTCATGTGATCACAATTTGTGACCTTCCCTACTGGCTTCCCACAAGCAAAGTCAGTGAGGAAGTCGATAGGAGGTTGCAAGTCGTTCCTGCTGCTTTTTCACCCACCCACACTCCGTAACACCTGCCTACAGCACCCACACACCTGTAGCTCTCACCTGCAGATCTTACCCGCTGTCCTGCTTCCCTGGGACTCCCACCTCTTTCCATGTCACAGTCACATGAGGTCCTCACTTAACAACCTGCATGGTCCTGGGGTTACAACTGCCAGGATTGCTGTCACGAAGCACTTTACAACCACATCACTTAGTGACCAAAATTCCAGTCCCAATTGCCATCGTAACCCGAGGACTACCTGTAGTATTGCCGAAGTTTGGTGGCATTTTTATGTTTTATGTATTTATATGTATTTATGGTTTTAATGTTTTGTGTGAGCCGCTCAGAGTCCCCCATTGGGGGGGGATGGGTGGGGAGAAATTAATTAATTAAATAAATAAATAAATAATAAAAAT